CAGATGAGCAAAAATAAGAAAATAAAAAGTGCATATTCCCACCACCCAGAGATGCCCATTGATACCTCAGTGCATACTCTTCTATACTGGGGGGTGCCAAAAACATGTGTACAAGTGGACACTTTGGTCAACGCTGCTCAAGCAATAGTTTGCCGTAATCAGAAGTGTCTGGATGCTGATGGTCACCACTTTGAGCACCTCTTGTAATTGCTGAAGTCAAACGTGACTTGTAGTCATCTTTTGTTATCGGTATATATTGAGTATTACAATATTAATACAGTTTTCCTTTCTTAAAATATGTATACTTTTTTGGCACCCTTTGTATGTATAATTTTTGCTGAAATGAAATAATACTGCATACCGTTTTATAACCCACATTTTTCGTTAACAACCTCCATCTTTCCACATATATAAATTTTTATGTTTGAATACCCAGTCCATGTTCAAATTGTCCTAAGTGTTCCAGACGTATCTTTTATAGCTTGTCCAAAGCAAGACCCAGTCCAGTCTCGGGGCCACATTAATCTGGCACCTGTTCCTGTCCCTTTAATTCTAGCACCATCTCTTTCTAATGACTTGTTGGAGAGACCAAGCCAGTAGTCCTGCAAAATTTTCCACCTTCTGGGGTTTTCTGTTTCTTCATGACATTTTACAGCAGGTTCCACTACCTCCTTATTTCCTAAAAGCGAGAAGTTAGATCCAAAGGCTTGATAGGTTCAAGTTCAACACTAGGTGCTAGACTACATTATAGTTAGTGTTGTGCATCACATCAAGAGATACATAATATCCCGTTCAGTCCCACTAATGATGCTCAAGTGATCCCCTGATGAGGGGCTGACAGCTGGCCTTTTCCATTGTTCAGTTACAGTTTTTCCACTTACAACTAAAAGGTCATCTATGGGATTTCCTTTGGCGTTATGCAAATGGCTAGATTCTTCTGTAGGAAACTTGTTCCCTCATCAGCTAGAGCTGTTTGGTTTCACTGAAATGAATTCCTACAGGAAAGGTTTAATTCTATCCCACAATTACCTATAGTCAAAATAAGGAATTGGTTTAAAAGCCACGTCATAGGATGACAAACAGCTTTATCCCCAGTACTTCCTGTGTTTCTCTGTTCTACTACCCACCCCCGCAGGCTTTCCTGAGACCATTCCTGGATTTGACAGATCACATGACCAAGACCTCAGATAGCAGTCACAGTATCGATTCACAGGCTAACCAATGACACAGCCCGAGGGAGCTGTGGATGCACCTCTGAAGCTTATTAAAAAGTGCACTCGCTCAGGAATGTGGGGGGGTCTCTCTCCAGACCGTAGCATAGGGGAACGTAATATCATGTACCCCTGGGTTCAGTCTGACCTGGAACACAGAATGAATGGCGTGTTGAAGGAACAGTGGACCAGGAGTTAGGAGTCCTGTACTAACGAGCCCTGGGAGGTCGTAGATGCTCATTAAATGACCAAGAGTAATTGGGCTGGTGGAATGGCCAGGACTTGGGGTGCTGGTGAAGAAGGGAGGATCGTGGTTTGGAGGGGCAGAGGTTCTGGGGGGTAGGGTGTAAGGGGGAAGGGTATGCCCAGAGCCTTGCCCCAGATGTGACCTTACCCCGATCTCCCCTCTCTGTCCCGATCAGCTGTATGTGGCCACTGTGCTGCAAGAGCCAGAGATGAACCTGACCCCGGCCTCTTCCCCAGCTCGGCACACCTACGGCACCATGAACAGAGAGCCAGAAGACGGAGAAGAGGAGAGTAGTGTGAGGGGCTTTGCAAGGGAGCTGGATTCGGCCCAGTTCCAGGAAGGCCTGGAACTGGACGGCCAGAGCCAGTATCACTGACGAGGACCCGAGGCTTCCACCTGGCAACTCCAGCCAGGAGTGGCGGCCAGGGGAGGTCCTGGACCTCCCCACTACTTCTGCAGACTTTGGAAAGGCCCAGCGTAGACATCTGCTGCCCTGGCCGTTGGCCATGAGGAGGCCCCGGCCCGCTGACCAGCTACAGCAGGAGGTGCTAGGCAGTGCAGAGGGACCCCTGGATGGGATGGAGGATACAGGCAACCACCACATCTTGGGAGAGGTGGCTCAAGCCCTGGGCATAGAGACTGAAAGCTGGGGGACCTTCCTGGGGTCAAGATGGAGGAGGTGTGCATAAGGGAGGAGGCAGAAAGAAGCCCACCGAAGACTCTCCCTTCACCACCCTTCCACCAGCTGCCCTACCAAGGAGCTTATGCTTTTCTGACCTACCCCCCACCTTCACTCCTGGCCCATCCCTCCCCTGCAATCTGAGGAAGCAAAGGTATGTGTGCTGGGCCTCATTAACAAGACAGGTGACTACCTCATCCAGGTTTCCCTGCATGGGGTTCTGCAAAGAGAGAGTATCTGCACACACACACCCCACCCCGGAGCAAGGGGCAGCTAAGACCCTAGATCTGAGAGGCAGTGAGTGAGGCCCTTCCTGTTCCTCTGCCCTTCAACAAATGTCCCCGGGAGCAGCAGGGTAGAGACCCTTCTCTTTTGTGTTCTTGTAAGGGTAGCTCGGACATGGTCACTCGGGGCTCATTAAATGGGACCTGTGTGCATTTTGATGGAGGCAAACCTCGACTGGTTACTATAAGGTGGGAGGGACAGAGGCAGAATTCATAGAGGGGGTCTTCTCCCAAAACGTTGGGACATGCCTTCTCAAGCTCCAGGGCCTAATGAGAGGACCCCGAAGGCCAAGGAGTGGCCACTGAGGGCTGCTCCTGCCTCATACCCACCTGAGTGCCTGGGCACCCAGCATGGCCAAGGTGGGCAGCAGCTTAGGGTAAGATGTCCATACTCCAAACTGAAGGTACTGGCCATTCCCTGGCCTCCAAGGAGGACCTTTCCTCTCCTCTCAGGGCCACCTTGCACTCTTGGCTGAAGACCACTCAAGTGGCCTCCAGGCCGGTCCTGGCTCAGACACTGGATGCCTTGCCAGGGGTGGGGTGGGGGTGGGGGTTGTGTCCTCCACACAGAAGCCCTTTCTAGTGGAGTAAGGCTGCCCTCTCAGGGCTGCCACCACCTGAAGCCTGGAGGAGTCAAATCCTGAGAAGTAACAGTGGTGGGGACACCCAGCACCTTTGCCCCAGAAAGGAGGTGTAGGCCTCTGCCTCTGGGGACAAGCCCCCATCAGGACCACCCGGCACCCCAGCAAAGGAGGACATGGAGAAAGGCCAGTTGGGGCCTCAGTGGACCAGAATGAGCCAAGTTGAATGGGGTGTGCATGCTCTAGAGCCCTCCAGAGCGCCTTCCTCCAAATATCAAGGTCCCTGCCGCCAACCTGCTGAAGGTGGGCCCCAGGCTCACCACACCTGAGTGTTTTTGCCGGGTCCCAGGCACCTGGATGCCCCTAAACTCAGATCACCTGGGCCTTGTCTCTGCTCCATCTTGCCCGCATCCCAGTTCCGGAAGTTCCAAGCTTTACCCCACAGGGGAAATACTGCTCGGAGGGGAAACGTTGCTGTAGCCCCATCCCCCCAGGTCTTGGCTGAAATTTTGGCTTGAAGGATCTTATCAGAGCGCTTGAGTCTGCTGGGAAAGAGGCAGTCTCTCCCCCTCCTTGTCCAGCTGGGAATAAGGAGGAAATTATACCCAGCACCCACAGGACCTCCTCCCTAGCATTTCACCAGCCAACAAGGAGACAGGTCCTTCTCAGAGTAGGGTGGTCAGTGCCCCAGCAGGGAGCTCCAGGCCCTGCCTGACCTCCAGAGAGACCTGGTGTGTTGTGTGTGTGGGAGTCCTGCCAGACCTGTCCTGTGGGCTCTCCGTCACTGGGCACTGCCTGCTGGCACCTACCTCTAGTCTCTGCAGCGCCTGCGGCGCTGTTCCCATTGCTTCCGCTGCTGTCCCTCCTCTCTCCTCACCCTGCCCACCTGGCAGCCTGTGGAAGCTGCATATGGAACGGGTCCCAGCAGATGACACGGCAGCATGCCACAGGGCTTCCCCTGCTGAATTTGGGCCAAGTGCAATCTGGTTCTGAGAGAATGCGGTGCGAATGTTGGGAACGTTCCAGAGCTCACTTCTCTACTGTTCCTGGAGACCCAGGCAACTCACAGGGCTCCCCCACAGCCACCTGGCCATCCTCGGTCACTGTGGGGGTGTGGAGGTAAGCAGGCTTTGGCTCCTTATATACCGCATCCGGGTACCTCCCCTCTAGCCTGCTCTCTCAGCCCACACCTGCCTCACACGTTGGCCTCCATCCTACCCCACTGGCCCACTTCCCAGCTGCCCCGCCCCGTTCGGTCCGTTGAAGCACCCCCTCTCAGATTTGATCCATTCTGGAGGGAGCTGCCTCTGAAGTAGGGCGGGGAGGGGACCTGGTATTGCCTAGAGCCCTCGTGAAGTGCCCCACTGGGCCTAGAGCAGCTCCACGCCTGCCTGCCTCAGACACTTCTAGAAGCAAAGTGCCTGTCAGCAGCATCGCATCCTCTGGGGACCCGGGTGGGAGGTGTGGACTTTCCTTGGCCACCACCACTAAAGGAATGTGCCAGGATGTTGAACTTTCTTGTTATTAATGCTATGACCGTGCCTTGAATAAACAGTCCTCCCAACCTCCGCTGGCCTGTGCCTCTGCCTCTGGACCCACCCAGCAGCACCTACCCTCCACCTGGAAGGAGCCAAAGCCACTAAGGGATGAACCTCCCTGAGGGCACTGGGCAGGAACACCACACCTTGATGTCTTTGACCTCTGGGGCCAGAGTTGCCCCTGGGGACTTCCATGGCCGCTGACGGCACAGGGGAAGGCCTGAAAAGTGCTGCTTGGTCTGCTAGAGAGACAAGAAGAAGTGAACCTGCCTCATTCTTCCTGCTATGGACACCTGACTGCTCCCTGAGCAAAAGGGAGAACTTCCTGGTCTGTGAGCTACCCAGAATCCACCAGTGCAGTCTCCTCTGAGCAGCAGAAGCCCCGGGGTGATGCTTGGCCCTGAGAACGGGCCATTGGCCAGACTAGCCACTGAACTTGATAAGATGAAGGCTTCAGGTAGAGGCCCCCAGAAAGAGTGGCAAGCAGGGCTCAAGTCTGCACCAGCCTCAGCCAGCAGCATGAGGGCAGGGGGAGGGGGAGGAGAGATTGGACATTGGGAGGTGTGTGAGGCTGCTAGGTCAGGCCTTCACGGGATAGGAAATACCCTCTAGCAAAGGCTACTTATGTCTGCTCTTGCACCATGACAAGGAGGAGAAAAACTTCCTGCCCTGGGGGCCATGTGTCCTGGCCTGGAACACCAGGGTCCTGGCCTTCTAGCCAGCTTGATGACCCTGGGCTGGTCATCTCCTCCAGAAAGTAGGGGTAGGAGGACATGAGGCCGACTGCTCTGTCTTATTACTGAACAGAGCAGATTCAGCTGGGCGGGGGTGTGGCAGGGGCTGAGAAAACAGGATAGGGGAGGCCTCTTCTGCCACTGCTCCTGGTGAGGACACACGGCAATCTTGGACAGCCTGCCCAAGGGCTGTTCCCCAGCACCCCTCACTGGACCCTCTCCTCAGCCTTTCATAGTCCATCAGTGGGCATGGGTTCAAAGCCCCTCATGGCATGAGCCTGGGCATGGGGCCCATCCCCTTTATCCCTCTCCCCTCAGAGCAATTATTTTCCAAGTCAGGTGAAATCCACAAGAGCTGCTCCAGGGGAGAGATGTATAAAGACCACCCTGGCTGGGTGGGAGGGGCTGTGCCCTACTGTCTGGGAACAGGGCTGGGCTGATTGCTGCTATAGGAACAAGAGACCGTTTCCTAGGATCTGTGAAATCCTGCCATAACCGCTGCCTCTCAGGGTCTCCTCCAGTGGCCAGCAGGCTCCAGGGCCCCCCAGATCACAGGCCCTGGGCCATTCCTTGGTTCAGCAGACCATTCAGGGGACTTTGCTCAGGCAGAGACAGACATAGAAAGACAGGCAAAGAAGCTAAAGAAAGAGGGCTTTGGCCTCTCGCACGTGAAGTCCTGAGGAGGATGAGGTCGGTTAATCCGCTCTGTCCTCAGCAGGCCAGGAGGCCTGGAGGCCTGGAAGGTGGATGTACCTGGTCTGGGATGGGCCTGGGGGGAGAGGTCAAGAGGGACGCCTGGTGCCAGGGAGGCCCAGGGAGACTGAGTGCCATGCTGGGCTCTGCTGGGCTGGGGAGGAGGCAGAAGGACCCTGGGGTCCAGGAGGCCAAGCATGAGGTGGCCACAGCCACCTCGAGGGCCGGCTCTCTGCCACTCTCCCAAAGCCATCGTGCTGGGCGAGGCTCAGGTCTGTCCCGAGGAACCTCCATTCTGGCCCAACTCTAGGTTTCTAAGTCTGCTCTGTGGCAGGTATGGCGGGGGCCTGGCTTATGGGAAGGCACTTCCCAGGTTTTCTCAACAGGATATTTTCTGAGCTCTTCACTGTCCCTCAGACTTGACAACCAGCAGCCCAGCATCTCAAGCCTCCAGGGCTAGGGTTCTCCATCCTGTCTGCAAATGACTCTCCTGGGAGATTTTCAACAGCCCCAATGTCCAGGCCCCATCCTGGGACAAATCAAACTTTCTGGGATGGGGCCCAAACACCCCTATTTTACAAAAGCCCTCCAGGTGACTAACGTGCAGGGAGGATTGGGTGGGTAAGAAAACTGACCCCAGCCTCGCATCCCTGGAATGGGGCAAGCTGGTCTCAGCACCTCATATTGTTGCTCACCTCGGGGAGGGTGTGGCCCTGCAGCCTGTAAATCACCACACGTCCACAGGCTGGGAAAGCTCCCTTCACTCAGCTTGCAGGGAGCGCCAATGTCAGGTGCCTGGTAGGTAATCGAAGGTTAGGCCCAAACAAACATCAGCTTTCCGGCTTATGCGGGATGAATACCTAGCACTAGCACAACTTCTGTTGTCATCATCTTCCTCTGCAGTAAGTCCTACTGTGTGGGCTGGGCAGACACACAGTGGGCCTCAGGGGTCACTTCCGGCGTCAGCTTCAGCAAGGGTTTAAAGAGTCTCCTCTTCCCTCCGCTCCAAACACAGAAGCCCCAAAGTGGCTTTTCTGTCAGCCTTCTCATTTCGACTGCAATAGATTCTAAGTGCAATACACAAATTTATGTAAGGGTTTTTGGGTAGGGACAAGTGCTTTGAAGAAAAAGTAAAGCAGGATAAGGAGAGGGGGAGCGACTGAAGATGGGGTGGATCCAGGACAAGCTCTGTGGAGAGGACACGTGAGCATATAGAGGCTGCGTGAAGGGGACAGGGAAGATCTTCTGCAGGGCCCAAGGATCGGTGGGGCAGGCAGGGTGGCCGGAGCAGAGAGGCGAGGTCTGAGGGGGCAACAGGGCTTCACAGGCCACGGTTAGGACTCTGGGGTTTACTCTAGTGATATGGGAATCGACTGGAGGATCCTGAGCAGGGGAGCAATGTGATCCCCTTAGGTGTTGAAGCAATCACTGTAGCCACTGGCTGGGGACAAGGTGGACCGGAAATCCACCTTGGAGGCATCCAGGAGAGACAATATGGCAGCTTAGACAAAGACAGGGCAGTGAATGAGGGGAGAGGTGGAGGACCCACAATAGGATCTGAGGATGGATTAGAGGTGGGGTCAGAGTGAGAGCAATGAAATAAAGATGACTCCAGTTCTTAAGCTGGAACAGCTGGGCAAACTGGTTAACTGAAGCCGAGGACGCCGGAAGGGGCGGGGTGAGGGAAACTACCAAGTTCTGTTTTGGTCATGTTACTTTTAAGATGCCTCATAGGGATGTTGGACAGGTGGCCTGATCCAGAGTCTGGAGTAGGAGAGAGTTAGGTGCCATTGTAAACGTGAGAGTCATCAGTAAGTGGGTGGTATTTAAAGCGTGGCACTGGCTGAGGCCTCTGCGTAAAAGAGGGGAAGGAGAATCTGCAAGGGAGCCTGAGCTGGAGTAGCCACGAGGATGGAGGGAAACCGGGAGAGCCTGGTGTCCCCAAAGCCAAGGAAAGTAAGGGACTCCAAGAGGAAGGAAAGGGGCCCCAGCTCTCACCACGCTTGACAGTAAACACGGGGCACAGAGGAGTGAGTTCAAGGACACCACAAAGAAGCACTGGCCAAGTTAGAGTGCTGGATGTGCCATTAGACAAACAAGCCGGTTTCTCCCACAAATCAAAGGCGTGAGGAATGGGAGAGGGGCTGGTGGAGAATGAAAGGTTTAAGAGACACAACCAGACGCAATGGGTGGCCCTTGGTTGCATCTTGAGTCGAACAAACCAGCTGCATGAAGATGTTTTTGAGGCATCAGGGGAATTTGAATATGGACTGGGCACTAGGCTGTGTTGAGGAGATACGTTTATCTTGATAGTGTGTTTATGACATAGGTTAACAGGTGGAAAAAAAAGTATCAGGGGCCGGCCAAGTGGCTCAGTTGGTTAAGAGCTCACTCAAGAGTGCGAGTGCTGTGCAACAGGGTCGCCGGTTCAATTTCCGGCCTGAGCTGAGCTGCTGCTGAGCTGCCAACAGGTGGCAGGATGGCTCAGCTAAAAAAATTTAAAAATAATAAAAAATTTAAAAAACATTATCAGAGGTTCATATGGAAGACTTTACAGGTAAAAGAACAGGAAGTCTGGGATTTGTTTTAAAACTCTTCAACAAAATAAGAGGGGTCAGAGAGATCTTGAGTTGCTCACCATTGATGCTGGGTGAAGGGCACATGGAGATTCACTAGGGTCTGATTTTTGTGTATGTGAACGTTTTTCCATAATAAAAAGTTTACTGGACCGGCCGAGTGGCGCGATGGTTAAGAACTGGCTTGGGATGCCAGAGGGCCCCGGTTCGGATCCCACATGTGAGGGCCAGTGACACTGCCCTCCACAGCTAAGATGCTGAACAACAGCTCGACCTGGAGCTGGGCTGCCGTGAGTCACTGGCGACGGTGTAGGCTGCAGCCCCTGCTGCAGTGGGTTGCCATGGGCTACCGTGTGTAGCCAGCAGCCAGCATGAGCGGCCAGCAGCTGCAGTGAGCGGCCGTCCAGAAGCCGGAGACTGATCTGACTCACCTGGGAAGAGCGCAATGATGGTGCCAACTTGGGCCAGTGAAGCAACGTCCTCCACAACTAGACTGAAGAACAAAACGACAGCAATTTGTCTGTTCCTCTTCCCCCAATTCCCCAATAAAATCTTTTTTAAAAAAAAGTTTACAAATAAACGAAAGAATGGTCAACTCAAGTGCTGCTGAGCAGAAGAGCAAGATAAAAGACTGAGATGTCACCCTGAATTCGGCAGGATGGAGGTTGTTGGTAACCTGGACCATAACAGATTAGGGGTGGGGATGAAATAGGTTTCAGTCTGCTCATAGGAGTGAGAAAATGGCCAGGAAAGACAACTCTTTTGAAGAGTTTTGCTATCAAAGGAGGTAAAGAAACAGGACTGTAGCTGAAAAGAGAGGAGGGGTATAGGGTGGAGTGGTTCTTTGTGTCAGATAGGACATGTGGGCTGATAGATGACGGAAGAATACGTTACAGGGCTGAGACCTGGATTAGAGGAGAAAGGAACTACCCCCCCCATACACACACACACACACACACACACACACACACACACACACTCACACACACTCATGCACAAGCAGAAGGTAGCCTTCAAGAGAGGTGAAAAACACCCATGCTTAGGATGGCTCAAGACACAGGTCAGAGGAGGCTGTTTGGCCTTTCCAAAGTCAAGTCACCCCAGTCCCCTGAGTGGGTGTCAGACATTCAAAAGTCATAGGCCAGGCATGGCCTCCAGAGTCGGATCACAGAGCAGAGGAGGCCCTATCTCACTAAAGACCATGGGGCTCAAGAAAAAAAATGCTTCTGGTGCCACCGTGGGAAAAGCATTCCTAACACGCTCCAGACCCAAGGTCTGCAGTCACACAGCCCGGCCGGCCTGGCCATCTGAGCTGGGGAGGCTCGGCTGGCACCTGCAACATTGGTCTTGGCTGAGAAAACTGAAGCCTCAGGGTGAGGGCAGCGGCCCACGTGCAACCCTTCCAGCCACTCACAGCCCAGCTCCAGGACCCCACACCTAGAGGCCAGGAGCATGTGGGGTTTAGCCTGTTTATATAATGCCCGCCCCTAATGTTACTCTCTCCCCAGGCTCCTGGCTGTCTCTCTATCCTGTCTTTCTGAGCCTCCTGAACACACTCACACCTGCTCTTCAACCCCAATGTACACTCCAGGTTAACCCATTTAATGTCCTGAAGAAGCCTGCCCTGGGATTGGCACTTTCCCCTCCAAGGAGGATCTACAAGCTTTCCTCGGAGTCTTTGTGCCCTTTGCTGCTGTCCTGGCACCTGGACCATTCCTATCCCTGGCCTCACCTTGTTTACCAGCAGGTGGGCTCCCAGGTCTCTGGATTAGTGTGGGCATATGTTGTAACAAACCAAGCCCCAAATACTTAATGGCACAAACAAACAGAAGTTTATGTCTCTTTCCTGTAAAATTCAAAATGGGCGAGTCCCTGCTCTACATGCTGCAGAAGTACCTGGGCCCCACTAGGCACTTCTGATTTGTGGGCTCTCCCCTCCAAGAAGTGATTTAAGGACCCAGGGTCCTTCTACCTGTGGCTCTGTCAATTCAACATATGGTCCTCAAATGCACTGTGAGGTCTGCATCAAGATGGCAGAAGAATGACAGACCACAGAGGAGCATCCAGGGGTTTGGAGGGGACAGGTGTGGGAGTGGCACACATGTCAACACATTCCAATGGCCTGAACTTGGTCACATGACCCATCAAATTGCAAGGGAGGCTGGGAAACGTAGTCCAGTTTCTGTGCCCTGCTATGGCAGGCAGTTACCACCACAGATGCCTAGCTCCACCTCAGCCACTGGCTTGGCTTCCCCTGGCCCTCCCTTCTTTTCTACCCACTCTAGCCTTGGCCCTCCTGAGCCCGTCCTCCCACCACGCCCTAGGTCCACCACCCTGCAGCTTCATCTGGCACAAGTTGACACCCAAGAAGAGACCAGTCCTGGAGGGTCAGAGAGGCACGCAGAAAAGGTTTATTCCTCATGAGTTTATACAAACACAGCATAGAGCATAAGATAAACGTGCAGACAGCTCAGGGGGAGGGCTCAGGGCCTGTCCCGCTGCTTTCTCATCTATCCACCTGCCTAAGTACAGGCATACACCGGTCAGAAAATTTGGGAAGTTGGGGGTCCACAGTTGGTGCAGGCAGAGGCAGAAAGGAGGGTTGGGAGATGAGACCCAGGCCCTGCTGGAGTGGGTGGTGAGGAACGCAGGGCTCTCTGGAATGAAGTCACCCCTCTTCCTGGGACTTCCACAACCCCCCCCCCACCTTGCTGGCTAGTTCATTCTAACAGCAATTATGAGGGAGCTCCCACCAGAAGTGCAGAGTGAGCAAAAGGGAGATACTGCAAAAGACAAACCACTCTGTCAGGTGCCTTCAGGGTGGGACTCTGAGACCCCTATGAGCCCCTCTCCCAGAGCCAGGTCACCTCTCCCTTCCTCAGTGTTTCTCCCGATTACCTGCCTGTGATTCCACCATGAAGGCTAAAATTGTCCCTCCTCCTCTGTCCTTGTGAAAAGCAAACACCCCTGGGAGAGAAAAGCATTAAAGGCAGGCGGGAAGGGAAGGTGCCTGGCTCGCAGCCATCCCACTGAGCACTTAGCTCAGGCTCACCTGGGAAGGGTAGCTGACAGAAGCGCCCGTTCCCTCAAAGTCCTATACGTTCCTGGCCCCATGCCATCTGTGCCACCAAAATGCTGCTGCTCCTCATGACAGAAGAGGAGGTGCCAGAGGGGAAATAAGATAGGCAGGGAGGAGCTACTGGGGCCGGGGAGCGGGAATCCAGAAGACGCTTCCTGAAGGAAAAGCCACCTCATCCCCCTGTCTGCACTTACGTGGGGGGATGGGGGATGGAGACCCAGCCCTGCTCCATCACCTGTCCAGTATGGCCAAGGGGACAAGGACCAAGATGCAGGGAGGCCTAGGAGAGCTTGGGCTACAATGGACACAGACCAAAACGCAGACACAGACAAATGGAGGCCCCTGGGCAGGAGCTGCCTCTTACTCGCCGTCCCAGCCTCGACTCATGGCCTGTACTATGGCCCCATAGAGCTGGCTCCAGGCGGCCCTCGTGGCTGGTGTGAAGGCGGGGCCCAGGCACTTCTCCAGCATGTAGAGCAGGGACTCACCCACCGTCTGCAGAGGCAAGGAGCACCGTGTCATTCCCAAGGGCAGGAAGGCATCACTCCATTCCACTGAAGAGAAAACTGAGGCTGGAGGCTGGTAAGGGCTCCTGGGCCTTTCTGCTCTCCTGCACTGGGTCCCTGCTTCCTGTGCAGGATTCTGCCCCAATCCTTGGGTACCATATTGTGCCCACCTTTTGGCTGAAATCTGAGGCTTTGTAGTGAATAAAACTTTTCACTCCACTCCCAGCCTAGCTGAGGCATTGCCTGGGACCCCCAGCTCAGACCAAGCAGTCATTGCTCCCAGGCCTCAGTTTCCTCCTCTACAAGGCAGCATTCATGGTGTTAAGAGCCCAGGCTCTGTAACCAGATGGACCTACTATTTCTGACTCTAGTATTTATTAACTGTGTGACCTTGAGCAAGTTATGTAAGCTCTCTGAGCCTCAGTTGCTTAATAAGTAAGACAGAGGAAGTAAAAAAGTTCCAATTCACTGGATTGTTGAAATGATTAAATGAGATCATCTATAAAAAGCTCTTAGCACAGTAAGCCTTCAACAAGAATAATGGCTCTCATTTGTTATTAGTCCTAATAAAATAAGGTTCATTTATTTCACAATATTTACTGAATATCCACTGAAGACCAGGCATTGTGCTAGTGCTGGGGATGGAGGGAACAAGACAATCTTGGTCCCTTTGAACCCAAGGTGCTTCCCATCTGGAAAGGTGGCTGGACTGTGTGGCAGACTCACGTCAGCGGACCCCATGAACCCCACCTTGAGTAGGGGCCCTCCACCCTGACACTGGTCTCATCCGTCTGAGTGGCTTTGGCCAATGGGACATTAGCAAGAGCGATGCAAGCAGGGTCTGGAAAAGCACTTGCACACCTGGGCTGGTCCTCTGGGAACACGCCGTCTTAGACTCAGGTGCTGCTCTGTACAGAAGCTCGGCTAGACTACCGAACGATGAGGCCACAGGAAGAGAGACCCCCAGGGTGTTTTGGGATGGTCTTATACACAGCAATAGAAAACGGAGCAGAGTGGCAAATCCCAAAGGCTCCTTACCTTTCCCTTCTATGGTTCTAAAAGAAGCCATACCAGAGAAGAAAACATGGAGGCTCAGAGAGGTCAAGGCAGCGCCAGGGTCACACAGCAGGTAAGTACCAGATGCAGGCCCCAGCCCTGGTCATGTGAGGGCATAGGAATGGGGAGACAGGGGAGGACTGGGAGGGAGTGGTGGCCTCAGTTGAGGAGCTCCAGAGAGAGGAAGAGCCCCTTTACCCACCGACAAGGAGCTGAGCTTGACGCCCACTGCACGGTGCTTCCTGCCCAGGCCTGTAAGGTAGTCCTCCAGCGAGGACAGGTCCTCCACATTGGTCACCGCAGTGTCAATCACGAGCATCACCTGCCAAAGCCAAGGTAACACTGAAACAGGGCCAGAGCAACCCCTCTGCTCACAAGCACAGTCCAGAACCCGGGGGTCCCAACCGGTGGCAAGAGAGGTCACCAGGACACTCAGTTTTTGAGGACCAGAAACAGAAAGTAATCTGTGTCTGTGTACAGTAGGTGCTTAATGTGTGGTGACCAAGCTACTAATGTTACACAGTGAAGGAAGCCCCTCTCCTCTGAGGGACGCAAAGCCCTAACCACGCTTGCAGACCAGTGTCTGCCTGGGACGAGGGGACACTGAGGCCCTGTGAGAGTTGAGGGCCTCTAAGCAAACCCCATCATGGTTTTCATAGGCAGGTGGCCCCTAGCAAATCAGTGCCAACACCACCGACAAGAGCCAAGGGACAAGGCGGAGGGCAACGACGGCTGGGACCAGCTGGCTGAGCAGAGTGCCAGAGAAACCTGCCTCTGGTGCTGCACACTGGGCCCAGCTCAGCGCCGAGGGAAAGAGGCAGAAGGAGGGGAGTAAGGCCAGGCCCAGGACAGAAAACGGAACTAATTTTCCCCAACCCAAGTCCCTCATTCTCCCCCAGGAAGGTGTCCGCCTTCCCCTCACCTTCCTGATGTGGTCCAGGAACTCGGGGGAGGACAGGCATTCCTCTGGGCTGGAGAACTGGCGGCAGTTGTACTGGAAGAGGGGCAGTAGGTCGGGCTCCAGGTCAAACAGCCTGTGTGGGGAGGCCCAAGTGTCAGCCCTGGGGGTCAGCCCCTGCAGGCCCCAGCAAGCCCCAGAGCCCTGGCTGCCCACAGTGGGAATGCGTTTCGGCCACAAACTACACACCCTCCAACCTGGCACTGATTCCTTCACCAGCTTTGCTGGTGCCCTCTTCTTAGAAAGAGCATGTGTGCCCAGGCCACTCTAGGACCCAGCATGTAGCAGCCCCACCATAAACAGTTAGGGGTGCTGGGACAGGAAGGGATCCTTAAACAGGAAGCCTGGAGTTCACCTTGTGGAAAGAGGAAATCTCTCTTCTCTCTCCCTCTCCCCCTGCCCCCCACCATCTCCTCCCTCCCACCTTCCCATTCTTAGGTCAGAATCTCCCAGTCTTATCTCATCTCTTCTGGGGCCAGAGTGGAGGGAGGGAGCTATGGCCAGTGAGACTAATAATAGTATTCAGAACTGTTTACACTTACTGAGCATTGAGTACTTTACATATGGTTAACTTGTGCATTCCTCACAATCCGACGCAGTGGGTACAACTGTTATCCCGATTTTATAGAGGAAACAGAAGCCCAGAGAGGTTAAGTAACTTGCTTAAGTTTACACAGCTTGGAAGCAGCAGAACCATAGAGGGTGCCTGAGAAGACAGTGGGCTTGGGGAAAGCCGGAAGGCACTCGCTAAACGCTGAAACTCGCAGCTACTTCTGAGAGGGCTCATCAGGGTTTTGTGTAACTCTGTGAGTTTATTTCCCTTTTTGTTGGTGGGGAAGTTTTGCAAAGCTTCCTCAGAAGTTCTGGGCTGGCTTAGGGAGCCAAGGATCCTGAAAAACCATGGAGAAAGGGACCCTTGCCCCTTGGGTGATGGCAGAGGAGTTTCAGAAAGACCCTCAAGCTAGGGTTGAAGAGTGGCCTCCGCCACCCGCTTAGGGGCTGTGCACCCCTCTCCCCCTTAGCCCTCTCTCCAATAGTGAGAATTGAGTGAGCATCTGTCATCCCTTCCCTGGCAGTTCTCTGTCTAGCCTGGTCCTTTCTTCGAAAGTGTGCATCCTCCGTTTCATTGCTGGAAGTGCACTCTCCTGATGCCCGGACCTGTGCCCCACCGGCCAGGCGCCCCGCACCCCCCACCACCACGCATGGGCCCTGGGGGGCACCCCCGTCTCCCCTTACTGGCAGCAGTTGGCACCCCCGGAGTCACCATCCAAGCAACGGACACTCAGGAAGCACAGAGCCGGGGATGAGGCTCAACGCGGAGACTGGCGTCTGCTGGCCCGAGTGTAAGGAGATCCCGACGAGGACCCCCGCCCGCCCCCAGCGAGCCAGGTTGGGAGTAAGTGTGCGGCGCTGGACACAAGATGCTCCCACTGCCCGGTGAAGAGCAGAAGGGGTGGCGCCACCCGTCGCCGCTTACTGCTCCTCTGACGCACATCTGGAGATGCCCCCAGCGACCAGGCAGCGAGCCAGCTGCCTGGAACCCATTCCTGGTGAGACCTCCCGCTCCCCGCCCCCCGGGGACACTCTGGCCACCCTCACCTGGTGAACAGCACTGTGCCATGCTCCAGCGGGCTGCTGCTCACCGCCCGCCAGCTCTGCCGGATCAGCTCGGGCTCCAGGCGCTCCATGCTCGCCCGGGGGCGCGGGGCGCGAGACTGGTACCCTCGGGGCACGGGCACCGTCACCGCACGAGCTGCGCCATCTCAGCGGCGACGCAGGCCACTGTGCACCCCTTGCGGCCCCTGCGTCTCGTCCAGGTGGGATCCAACCACCACACCTTCTCCGTCCTAGGTGGAGGCACACCAACTCTGCCAGCCCCGCTGGCGCTTCTGGGGACCCTGCTCCGGCTGCTGCACCCTGCGCCCCGCGGCTCCGAGCGCGCCCCGCCCCGCGCCACTCGGCTGGGGCGCTTTAAAGCAACCGCGGTCCCCGCCCCCCTCTGTTCATCAAGGCGCGCATCTCTGGGCAACTGGCTCTGGCCGGAAACGACCCGGTGTCATGGGAAATGCCCAGGCTTCACAGCTTAACAGAAATCATCGAGCCTCTCTGGACCTGTTTCTCACCTGGAAACGGGTGGTAATAGTACCACCTGCTAGTTAAGACACTGTGTTGAATTCGATCCCCTTGTGTAGGCTCTGCATGAGCCACCTCTCCACATTGTCTGGAAGCATTTGAGCTTGCCACCCCCTTGGGTTTGAGTTTGCTTCCTTCCTCTCCAAGGTCGGGGATGCCAGGTCACCTACCTGTGTGACCAGGCTGAGGCTGGGAGTGCCCTCTGCCCCAGCTCTGGGTCTGACTGAGGCACCCCCACACCTTGAGGGCCACCTGGGCCCTCTGCCTTAGGGACAGGGCCAAGGCCGCAGTCATTTCCAGCTAGGCCTGGGTTTTCCTAAGACTCCACCTTTAGAGATCTGTGGGCTGCAGTTATAACCCAGCTCTGCTTTGCCAGGGTGGGGTCTCAGGTACAGCAGCTGTGAGCACTGCGCTACCTGGACACTGAGGGCGTTAAGCTCAAACATTCTACTATCCCACAATTTTTAATGGACTTTTAAAAAAGTTTAAGTAGAAGTACTATTTATGTTATTAAATATAAGTTCAGGAACAGAATCTCATACTTGCCAGTCGGGTGTGAAGCTGGTCACCTGTCCATTAGACCTATGCTTTCTCTCATTCAAGCATGGAAGTTCCTCGAACTGTAGCCCAGGTCTAGTGGCCCGGGTTTGGGGGAGCAAGCCCCTTTTCACCCTCGTTTATCATTTTTTGCAAGTGTCTGAGCCCATGTCCTCTCAGTCCGTCCACTTCTTTCCGTTTCCTCAGCTGTACTGAGTGCACAGCTGCGTTGGGTGTCAAGGTCACTATGGGCCTCTCAGCCCGCCTCCCGTGTTTTCACGGATACAGTGCGGGCAGGTGTTCTGGGGCCATCGGTTATGAACAGGCTGTGGCTCCTTGGCCAGCCCTGTGCTAGGCATGGAGTGTTGAGTCCCTGCCTTCCAGAACTTCTCCTGCTGGCCCCAAATCGGGACTAGGGGCCTCAGCAGAACTCTTCTTTCATGCACCCAAACCCAGTGAAACCATCTAGCTGCTCTCCCTCCAAGGACCCAGGACTCTCAGTACCCCCTGTTCCCCTCTTCCCCGTCTCCCCACACATCTCTGGGGGCTCGGGGCTGAAGCACGAGTGCAAGGCTGTAAGGCAGCCAGGCACGTGTCCTAAGAGTTCAATAGATCCTCATAGAAGAACACAAAGTGACTGGGGGCTGAAGGGAGGAGCCAAGGGTACCCAGGGATTAGACTTCCAGCTTGGTACCCCGTGGTCCTGCCGACAGGTGCAGCAGGTCACGGGAAGGTCACGTCTCCATCAACCTTTACCTTCTTTCAGTGCCCAGATGCCCAGTGCTCCAGGCAGGCCACCTGGCTCATCGAAGACTGCCCATTCCACCCAGTTGGCACTTCTTGACAGCAGTCTATACTCAGGCCCCTTCTTGCCTCCTTTCTCCTCTGGACAGGGTCTGGGATCTGATATGTTAATGGGAGGTAATGGCTTTAGCTCGTAAGTCGGCACTCACTCTGCCTTTCTAGAGCAAGGAGGCAGGAGAAGCTAAGTGCATTCTAATCTCTGCTCCCCTTGGAGAACAGGCCTGAGGATCTGGCTGGACCTAAGCAGTCAGGGTGGTGTATTCCCACCAGAGACTGAGGGTCTGAATCCACATCTGAGGGGCTGGGGAAATGTCACAGGAGCTCCCCTCCCTGCCTGACATCTGTCCATGACTTGGGCAGGAGCTTCTAATTGAAGAGAGTTCAAATACACTATAGCTCTAGAGCCAGTGCTGACATTGGGTCAATTTATCACCAACAATAATAAAGTTACCATTTATCAAGCATTCCTGTCCTGACATTGCGCAAAGCACTTGGCATCATTAACTCTTTTCATCCTCACGATAACTCTATGAAGCAGGTATTATTTATTATACCCTCATTTTTCCATTGAGGAAACAGAGGCAAAGAGGTTAAGTAACTAGCCCAAGGTCACAGAGTACGTTGTGGGGCCAGGATTTGACCTCAGGTCTCATTCTGGCCCATCCTTAGGTTCCCATGATCTGTTGCCTCCCTTACTTTAATGGACTGTGACCAAGAGCTGTGTGCACAGTTCAGACCAAGCCAAGGTCACCGGGTCTGGATCAATGGTATACTGGAACCGGCTTTCAGATGGCATGGGAGAACCCACTGTGCACATCTTTCCAACTTGTTCAGTGACATCAGGTTGGTAGCCTCAAATAGGCCATGGTAGAAGTATTTACACCGTGGAAATTGGCAAATGCTACAAATCAGGGCTTTTTTTCCTCCCAGAAAACCACTGGTCTGGGTGCACAAGGCAACACTGGGCCCTAGATGAGCTATCAATGCGTTCAGCAGAGTGTACAAGGGAATAGGCTGAATCTGGCTGCCTCTGAGCTGAGCCCAGGTCTTCTCCCCAGGGGACCCAGGGCTGCCAGCTTGTTTGGGGAAAGTGCTTCTAGTCCCAGGACCAGGCTGCAGAAGCAGAAAAAGCCCAACTCGGTGCCTAACCCTGGCCCCACTCTTTACTAGTCATGGGACTGTAGGCCAGTAGTTTAATCTCTCATGGGTAGAATGGGGACAAAAACAGCACTGACTTCGCTGGGCCTTTTTGAGGATTAAGTGTCTCAGATGGGTCGGGACTTGGTAAACCAAGCTGTGCCAGCCAACAAGTGTTCGGTCCATCTCTAGCCTGCCATCCTCAGGGCTCCCCACTTCTAAAGATTTGTAGGACCCCTCCCTTCCCCATCTCTAGCTACTGTTAGTCCTAAGCGGGAAGGGGGGCTCAGGCAGCCCAGAGGACCCCCAATTTCACAGGGCAGGGCTACTCCTCTTTCCTCCCTCCCCCACGGTCCAGCATTCACCTATTTTGGACCTTTAACATCACTCCTGATAACAGAAGATCCCTGTCAAGACTGGGGCCTCTGGTGGGCTTAGAAAGGAAGCTGCTACAGGGCTAGGCCACTCCACTGTCACGGAAGTAGACGACTGTTACTGTCTCTCACTCCTGTCTATACTTGTGTGGGCAGGTTAAACGAGAAAAAATCAGGTCCAGCTTCCTACTTATTTTGGAATGAGTTTAAATAAATCAAAATCGTTACTCAAGTAACCTTATGCACGAGAGTGTCCAAATACCCTCTGGGGTAAAACCGGGCTCACCAGCCCAGCCCGGGGCCTCTGCTGGAATTAGAATGGCCTCAGACATGAGACACAATAGAATGGTTCCTGCACCCAAAACATTCTTCTCTTTCTGGGAGCCAGAGGGCAAGTCAGATTCAATGAAGTACAAGAACAACATGGCATTCAAAATAAGAGCTATTTATTACAAAAGTAAATGGCCTCTGATCATCTGTGGAAACTTTTTTTTTTAATATAAAATGTGGCTCAAGAAGCTGACTGGAGTGTGGACTAACAAATGTCTTCTTCCTCCACCAGCGAGTTTGTGGGGCCTGTCACAGTTCTGCCAATTCCTGGGCGCTGGGGCCCATATTCAAAGCACCACGCTGACAGCCCCTCTCCCCAGCATCTTCCAACAACAGACCCTGAGCACTTGAAGCTGCATCAACCTACGTAGCCTGGTCCCCAGAGAAGTACCTATCAGTCTGGCAGAAAGGAGGAAGAGTGAATGGGCAGACCAGTCTCCTTCTCCCATCCTTGGAGAGCAATGGAGGGGACAGAGGAACCCTTTGTCCCCAGTGTGGCCAAATTAGCAGGGAGAGACAGACAGAAAGCTGCCTCATATCTCTCCTGCCTCACCCGCACTCAGAGTGGCTGCCCTCTGTCTCCTTCAGGGCTCCTCCCTTTCAATGAGTTCCTATTAGGAAATACAGGGCACAAGGGAACATCAGCCACCTCCTGGTTGTCATTGTGGGCCACTGTTCTTTGCTAAGAGCCAAGCACAGATTCCTGCATTCTACCTCCAGAACAGCCCACCCGGAGGGCTGCCCCCAACCAGCTCAGAAGAAACCAGCTTCCTCTGCAGGGAGGAGGGGCGGCAGTGGTCGGGAGGAAGGGGTGAGCAGAGGTTCTCCATCCCTGCTCTCCTTCCCTTCCAGAAATGCAATTGATCAAGCAGCCCAGACTCAGCACTTCGGCAGCACTTCCTGCTGGGGGGAGTCAAAAGGGCTGCAGCCCAGGGGGACAGAGGTCATCGGGCCCCAGATCTAATTAACAAACCTGCCTTGCTTTTGATGTCGCTGTATTTCCTCTATTAACATTAATGATGGTTGGTCTGAACATCCAAGTGTGGCCAGAAGCTTCCCTCCCCACCACCCAGTAGGGAGCACAGCCTGTCCCTGGGACCAATCTCCAGTCTCCGTGGCAACTGCCTCCTGAAGATGCTCTAAAGAGCTGTGACCCTGTCAGAGGACGGAAGATGGAGTGTGGCAGAGACGCATCATTAACCTTGAAGCATCACAGTCCTCTGAGACAAAACAAGTGTTCTGCCATCGCTTGGACGAGGGGGGCAGGCTGAAGGGCTGGCCTTGGGTTGACTGGGTTGTGACCCAAGGGTTCTCTTCATCTGTTTCATTTGGGGAGGAAGTGGAAGACACAGCTCTGAGCTTCTTGCTTGGGCTTCAGAGTAATACAGAGCAGAAGCTTTAATGCATTTCTAGAAGCTCTGGGACTTTGGGGACAAAGAGATTGGTGAAACTGACACAGAGAAAGGGAAATGAAATGGAGTGAAAGGGGAAGTCAGCAGGGGAGGACTAGAGAAGCAAAAATGGGGAGTACTTCACAAGTGCTGGAGCACCAGCTCACACTGGGACCCCAGCCCAGCAGCACAAAGACCCCTGCTCTGCGGCACATCTAAGTCGGCTGCTAAGCAAGGGGCCAAGGCCGTCCGGAGAATAGTAATAAACCTGTTCTGTCTGCACAGCCAGGCCAGATGCAGGAGGAAGAGATGGGCTGTAAGAAGCCGCCTCTGGCACCCAGGGCCTGGGAACACAGAGCAGCCACAAATAGGATACCATTCCCCCCACCAATCTCATCGTGTGACATTCTCAGACAGCAAGGAACCAAGGACTGTGGAGCCCAGTCTTCCGTGCACGTGGCAGGCAGGAAGTCCAGCCACCTGCTGCCCCACAGCAGACTTCCCAGCAGCAGCCAGGTGGGCACTCAGCTGTAATTGCTAGTTTGTGAGCAGAGGGGCAGCACAGCTGTGCCCTTCCCTTGGTGATGGGGTCAGCACTCTCAGCCCTCCTGGAGGTCAGAGAATTGTTGCTGAGCCTGACTTACGAACCAAATCCAGTGTGAAAGAAATACCAGAAAATACTACTGTAGCCCTGGACTATTTCTTAGAGTTTATGACACGCAGCTGTTCACAGTCACAGTCTATATTCCACAGGCATACGGACAAATGTCCCCTCACACTCCGGCACTCCCACCCACTCTCTCACACACTCATGCTTCCTTATGGTGCACACTTGGGGAACTGGGCCTGAGATGTTGTCCTCTGTGGCTGAGCCATCCTCAGCGGTGGGATCTCTGCAGACAGAGCTGTGGCTCTCTCTAGTGTTGTTCAAGTCTGGGTATGCTCCCAGGGCTTGGTCCTGGCAGGCAACAGGATTCCTCAGGCTCCTCAGGCAGCTTCCTCCACAGCGGGGCGGGCCCAGGGACTGGCTCCACAGCAGGCTGTTCCCAGGAAGTTCCTGGGTTGAGGCTGGAGTCCTTGCAGTGGCTTCAAAAGTCCCATGATTCCAGCCACCTTAGTCCTGCCATCGGACTTCGGGGATCCTGGGCTAGGGGACCAACCATCCCATAGGCGAGAGGGTGGAAGAGGTAGAAGCTGCGAGAGAGAATTCAAAGGGAGGCAGTTGGCATGCCGGTGCCTCAGCAAAGACAAGCAGCCCTACAGATCTTTGACATTCAGCTCCTCCTGCTGGAGCTCATCAGATCTTCTCCACTTACAAGGCCTAGTCCCTTTCATCACCACGGCTGTCTGAGATTGCCATTGGGCACACTGCAGCCTAGGAGCTTAGTAGATGCTGATTTAATGACAACGGAAAGGGCTCTTACCCAGAGGCCCAGGAGAGAGACCAGTCCAGGGGTCTGGTCACGGGCTGTTTGGCTGGGAATATTTGTTACAATGTGAAAATGCTCTCAGGTCACAGGTCATCATTTCCTGTTCACATTTTTATGTTACCCCTAAAGGCCAGTGACTCTCAACAGGGACCTGTGAAACTGGCAAGGTGGGGACAAGTGGGGTGGCTTTCCAAACAACACCCTTCTTCCAGTTATTCTGAGCCATGCCACACACTCCTATGCCCCTTGACCCACCTTCTCCCTCCTCACCCCCTGAGCACTATCCCAGGAGGGAGCCTCTGTGACTCAGGAGGGGCGCCCTCTAGGTGTGCCAGTGGTACAAAGCTGGGGCCACTGGCATAAGGGAGGAATGCATGTTTCTCCTATTTGGCTGCACATTAGGGTCACCTGGGGAGCTTGAAACTGTGGCTGACTGGGCCCAAACTGGGCTCGACTGAATCAAAACCCCTGGAGCTGGCACCACCACACTCTGAAAGCACCGCAGGGGATTCTGAAATGTGTGCAGGGCTGAGGCATGACGGTTGGGGCCGGGGAGCAGCGGTGCCAGGTGCAGAGGATGCTCACCTGTAGGCAGCAACCAGGAGCAGGCTGAGGACTCCCGCCACATGGATGCCGCCGGCCAGAGCCGAGGAAGCCAGGCTCCAGGCACAGAGCCGCAGCAGTGTGTCCCAGAGAAGGCCTGGTGGGAAGGAGAGGAACCTAGTATCGCCTGTCAGAGGGGGACCTCCGGGGACACAGGAGAAAGGGGCCGCCCAGGTCAGGGCAGCAGATTCGCTCAGCACTGCTGCTGCCGTGGCCTCCTCTCCTCCCTGTACCCCACCCTTAGCACCACGTCCAGGGGGGCAGTGCTGACCTGTCAACATGCTGGAGAAGAGCATGGCTGGGAAGTAATGGTGGAAGTAGAGGACCCGGCCCATCAGGAAGAACGGGAAGTAATGGAGCACCCAGCCAAGCAGCAGCTGCCCGCCTCCTTGCAGCAGGACCTGGGACAGCCCTGGGCCCAAGGAGCACAGCCCCAGTCAGCAGACAGGCAGAGGCAGGGAGCCAGGGCTGCAGGCCTGCTCTGCCCTTTCCTTGCTGTGGAACTTAAATGAGCCATATCACCTTGCTGGGCCTGCCTTCCCTCATTTGGACCAAGACGAACAGCCCTCTGGCAGCTGGCAGAAGAGAGTAGCGACGGGCTCTCAAGAGCCCTGCTCACAACCCAGCCCAGGGGGCCGCAGCACCCGTGGAGGGGCACCAAGCACCAGCAGGAGGCAGCGCGGCCGCTAAAGAAAGCAAAACCCCGCACACCTCCAGGGAGCTGCCCGCCTTCCTCCACTCCCATATCTTTGCTGCCTCACAAATCTTTGCAGCTGCAGACAGGGTGGAAGTGAGGTCAGAGATGAAGGGGGAGTGGCATAAAGGGGGTCTGGGACTGTGGCTATTCAGACAGGGAGCTGCAGAGGCAAAAAGAGCCTGTGTGAATGTCGCTGAGACTGTGGTCCATGGCCTGGAAGCTAAATGACCAGGAGCAGCACTAGGATGGGAACCCACAGGTCCTGCCCTGGGGGCTCCTCTCTACCTACTAGAGGGCAGGACCATGGAACAAGGAGCGGGCAGGAGAGACAGGCAGCTCTGTACAGTGAAACGTGTAGAGTCTGCACTCAGACTGAGGTTTGAACCTCAGCCCTATCACTTACTAATATGTCCTGGGACAAGGTTCTTAACCTCTAGTGCCTTGGTTTCCTGATCCGTAGAATAGGGGTAACAATCTCTACCCTATAGGGTTGTTGGGAGGATGTAGTACTTAACACAGCACCGGGCATCTGGTGACTGTGAGCTTATAAAAGCTAAGGAGACGGGAAAGAGTGGCCATCAGCAGGCAGCCCTTCCCCCGATTGCAGGCACCCTGCCAGCTGCTAGGTCGGGGGAGGCGGAGGCCAAGGGACCTGACCTTCAACCTCTGCAGACAGGTGCGCCCCTCTCTGCACAGCTACAGCAATGATGCTCCCGGAGAGCAGGTAGAGGGCAATGCTCAACAGGTTCAGCCACCAAACCACCTGCATGGGAATGAGAACAGGAGTGTGAGAGGAAAGCAAAGCTCTCCACAGGCCTGGCTCGAGGCCCAAACTGGCCCAGTGGGCACTCACCGGGTTGCCGAGCAGATACACTCGGAAGTCCGTGTCATTGATTCCTGAGAAGCGCAGGCCCTGTGGAGCACAGGACATGCTGCTGATCCAGGGCCCAGTTCATCCCAGCTGCACACGTCCCAGGGGGAGGAGACTGGTCACCTGTCACAGACAGGGGGCCTGGACAGGAGGCTCGGAATGTGCAAATTCTACGTGAACTCTGGGAAGGCTGGGTCAGAGTCAGGGCAGAAAACAGAGCCCCGTCTCCAGCCACCGCACACCAGGCAAGGCCTCACCCTGTCAGCCAGCACACCCCACCTCCACCAAGTCTCAATGATCATTTTTTTGGCTCCTCCATTTCCTGGGAAGAGCTCTAGCCTCGGGCCCTACCTGATAGTTGATAGGCCAGTGCCAGGGTTTGGATGTGAATTCATTGTCCTTGGGTTTGAGGCCATTGTTTCCCTACAGGAAAGTGGCAAAGGAAAGCTAGTCAGGACAGAGTTGGAGAGGGATGACAAAAATGCCACGCACAGGAATTTCTGACAAATGGCCAAGTGTCGGGAGAAACCTCTCTCCTCTCCCGCCCGTGCAGGGCAGAACCGGGTGCGAACTCTCAGTCACTGTCTACCTGCTTACAACTGCCTCACTTCTCCCAGCAAGCAAACCTCCAGTTCCCCCCGAGAGAGTCCAGTCAGACCCTCTCTGCTTGGGAGGAAGAGGAAGGAGGCATTTGCTTCCTGTAGGCACAACACACATGCCCATCTTCCAGGCCAAGGATAAGTGTCAAGAGGGAGAGGAAGGGACGTATAAAATCAGCGCTGACGTACTGTTCCCTCGGAAGGCCAGTTCCAACACACCCCTGGAAATGCTGATGAGTCCCTGGACTTTGAAAATTTTACTTTCGACTAGTGTTACTCAACGTTTAAAAATTATTGCCTCTCCAGACTTTTTAGACATTTTTTTCCTAAACACCCCCCTATGACATTTTAATACCATAGCTATACTATAAATCTGTTTATATACTGTATGAATACCTGTGCTTTATATATTAAAAAGTTAAAAGGTTTTTTTGCCCTCCAAGAACACATTTTACCCACTGGAAGTGATATCATTCTGGTAGAGAATGCACACTTAGCCTGATGGACCAGACTCAGCCACATTAATCCAGTAGCCAAGAGTATCCAACAACCTGTCTCTACATGGCAAAATCGGGCCTTCGCTAAAACAAGAAGGAAAAGGGTCAGGATCCTGGGTACTAACCACCAGGACTGGCATCATCCTCATTATCAGGGCACTCTGAGAAAGCACTTCCCGGAAGAGGAATAAGGTGCTATGAGTTAGGTCTGGGTTTCTCCACCTCCGCACTACTGACATTTTGGGCTGGAGAAGTTTTGTTATGGGGCTGTCCTGTGCAGTGTAGGATATTTAGCATCCCTAGCCTCTGCTTACTAGATGCCAGAAGCATCCCTACCCCTCAGTTTTGTCAGCCAAAAAAATGTCTCCAGACATTGCTAAATATCTCCTGGGAGGCAAAATCATCCTCTGTTGAAAACCACTGGTCTAGCCCAAGAAAGATTCAGAAGGTCTGGTTCAGTGAACTGCCACACAGTGCCTTACTATTCCAACTCCTTGAGGGGTTGGGAATTGTTTGCATGCCTCCCTGCAGTGGCTGGGTTGCTCTCCCAGGGTCAAAAGTGCCATGAGGGTGTCAGACGCAGGGACCAGCTATACAGCCCCTGAAACACTATAGCCATCTGAAGGGCCTCAGAATGGAGAATGAATCATTCTGGACCCAGAGCATCTGCAAACCAGTCCAGTCCAGTCCCAAACTTGGGGACTACAGCCTGAGCTATAATAAGCCAAGGGCATCCTATTCACTAATTGAACTCTGAGAAATCCAGCTCCTTCATTAAACCAAGAAATGGAAGGAAGGAAAAATCTGTAACCATCATAGGCGCATGCATTTCTACATTATTCACTATGCTTGAAATCTAGAATGGGTCTGTTCCAGCTCACCTCAGGCAAGGCAGCCTTCTGCACCCAGGCCTCAGGCCCTTCACTCAGCTGGCAGAAGAGCCCTCTCCCCTGCATCTGTGGTCTGGACTATTTGTGTTTCTCTCTCCATCCTGACTCTCTATCAGTTGAGTAAGAAAGATCCCATATGTCCCTTTTCTTCTTTGACTCTACCTCTTAGATAATGAAAGAAGAAATGAGACTATTTAGACTCAGTCTTAAAATTCTACCCAGACCTAGAATGATATTTTGACTGACAGGGACCTATTCAAAAGAGCTATATCCCCAAGCCACACTGATAGCTACTAGTAGAGAGTCAGAGAAGATGTGACCCACAGATTGCTTAATGTCAACTCACCACCTCCTAATGTGCAGACATGACAAAATTTGAATTTTTAAACTTAATGTGGTGATTTAAGTCAACTATATTTACTGATACTGCTTACACAATCACTTCCAGGAAAGTCCACTTGACAGTGGCTCACCGGGGGAAAAGTAACAACTGCTACACCTCTCTGCAACCGTAGGAGTAGAGTGATAATCACTCTGGCTTGAGATACAGTGATTCTTAAACATCATTCCTATGGAACACTGGTTTTCCCTAAACCAGAGTAAAAAAGTCTCCCCCTAAACATCAAAACTGCAGCAGGATTTCTCTAACTCACAAGAGAAAATTTAAACTAGTGGGTAGAATTTCTCACTTCAAAGATTTACTCTCTTGGGCCGACCAAGTGGCTCAGTTGGTTAAGAGTTTGCTCAAGAGTGCGAGCTCTGAGCAACAGGGTCACCAGTTCAATTCCCGGCCTGAGCTGAGCTGCCGCTAACAGGTGGCAGGATGGCTCAGCTAAAAAAAAAAAAAAAAAAAAAGATTTACTCTCTCAATTGTCCTTAAACCTTTGATGCTACAACTGTTGTCAGCTACTAATGATACAGAGTACAAACAGTGCATGTTAGAAACCCTTAAAAAGAATCCACTATGCCCCCCTAAACAGTTTGTTTCTCTCTGGGAACATAAGTGGACTCATGGTTGGGATTTTATGCTGCATGCAAACAACACACTCAAATGAGCTCTTCATGCTAATCGATCCTAATTTCATATGATGGAATGGTCTTCAATCAAGAGCACTCTGACTTTCAGGGGCTCTGCCGCTTGCGCAGATCTGAGAACCATTCAGAGGCAGAGGAATGTCGTGGTAACTAGCGCTGACTCTCAAAGCCCGCTAGCCTGGTCTGAAGCCTCTTACTTTTAGCTGTGTGAGTCCAGAGAAGTTCCTTAATCTCTGTGCCTCCATGCCCTCATCTGTACCTGGGAACAATAATCTTCATAGCGCCGTCATAAGGATTAAGTTCATATATGTACAGTGCTTCGAGTAGTGCCTGGCACTAAGCCACGTAGGTGTTCACTACCATCGCTGTTGTCATCATCTCCACCAACATTCTGTGGTAAGGGAAATGCCTTTGAAGACCCACTAAACCAGGAAGTGAATACACTGTCAAAAGGCGTCCACAAGGGGGCAGTGGATCTATACCACGGCTACTGATTTGTGATCCGAATTTGTGGAGGGCCCAGAGCTCTTAGAGGAGCCACCAAATGGGAAGGGGCCATAGTACCCGGATCATCACCATGTGGGACTCCAGCAAGATCTCAGGAAAACTGGGCTGCAGCACGTCCAGGCTGATGTTTGGCACTAGAAAAAGAAATGACAGAGGAGAAAGCCATTGTCACACATTCTCTCTCACAGATCCACACTGTTGCCAGTCAGAGTGCAGCTTTCCCAACAAGCTGGCTGCCAAGTAGGTGAGAGTGCTGTGGAAAAGGAAGAAAGCTTGGCCCAATTCGTGGCTATTCATTCAGCTTGTATTAAGCACTCATCAGGCACTCTGAGAAATACAAAGGCAACAGACGACAAGGCCCGTCCCTGCGTGCTCCCACAGCTCTCGGCACCATCACCCTTCATCTCTGTACTGGCTCAACTGCTGCTCTTCCCTGCGAGGCAGACGGTCTGTGAGAACAGGGCTCAAGTCTATCTCATTCACCAGTATATCCCCAGGCCCCACATGATTCCCAACATACTCACTAAAGAGTTGTTTAGTTAATTAGCTGGCTGGTTAAATTCGGTGGTAAAAAGAATGAAATGAGAAGCATGGAGGGGAAATCAAGCAGAAGCATGAATAGGGCAGTTTAGGAGGACAGATGATGAATCCAAAGACTCACTGAATTGAAGATGACACTGAAATGGAAATGTCAGATTGGAGCTGTGAGTGTAGATATGGGGCTCAGATCAAGGGCGGTGGCTGTCAGTTTCTGTAAAAGTGCTGGCTGGTTGGGAGGGGGGGAGCTCTCCACAGGGGCATAAAGGGAACCCACCAGCCTGCTCTAAGCCTTGAGGGTGCGGAGGTGCCCATGGTGCAGGAGACTGAAGAGCCCAGAAGGAGACAAGCCAGGTGGACCTGCTCACAGGTGTCAAGGAGAAGGGTCAAACCTAGAGTGAGGCAGGAAAATAAGAAGAGGCAACCAGCTCTGGCCCCAAGTGAGGGCACTAGTTACTTCAAGGATGGGAATTGAAGGAGAATGAAAAGTTTAAATGGATGAAAAAAGAAAACGGAGCCAGCTATCTTGCCAACTCACATGAAGAGATTAGGTTTAAAAAAGGAAAAAAACAGCAATGAGATGAAGTGACAGCAGAGTTTATAAAGGTTTATGATTCTAAGATGAGAGTTTCTTATAAATGCTTCCCTTCAGAGCCAGCCCAGGAATTGGCCTCACTTACATTTGGGATTGATATGGTCCTCTACATTCCAGACCGAGTTGAGGGTTTCCTTTAGGTATGGAGTGCAAGTCACTTCCATCTGCTCCCAGCCCCTGTGGAAAGTGTCACAGATGTCTCTCAGAGGCCCTGAGACTCACCAGATGGCAGCGCTGTCGACTGCTCTGAAATCCATGGAACCCCTCTCTTTTCAACCCAGTGGGCATGCTTTATTTCAGCCCCACACTTTCATATTCCACGACTATCCTAGGAGTATTTTAGCAGACAGCACTCCCATTGTAGAAAGACATACAGATCCAGAGTTATCACAAGCGAGGCGTACAAACGCTCCACTATCAGAACACAGAACACATCAGAGGACCTCAGCAGCTCTGTGCTCTATGACACACCTGCTGCCTTTTCACCCTCCATCTGCCACTAAAAACAAGCAAATAGGAGGTGAACTTTGACAACCAGGAAACAGAAGCTTCTGGTATGCTCCTTGTGGTGTGAAAGGAAAAGCATGGGCCTCAGTTGGGACTCAAAACCCCAGAAACTCACCACTTGGGCAGAATCTTTCCCGAGGAGCCCAGGACGCAACCTGTGACCAGATGAATGAAGCGAATTCGACTTCTCAGCACTTTGATCCGGTTTCCAAATTTTCTATTTACAACCTCAATCCGCCAGAAATCATTTGAGTCCCCTGTCCCATTCTGCCGTGTAAGAAAAAAAAAAATACAAAGAAAAAGGAGATGGCCACCCTTTCAGATGCCACCAAAATGGTCAAAGACTAAATCGGCCTCAATGATTGAGGTGGGAAAGGGAATGAGAGGGCCACGAAAATATCCCAACGTTGCCTCCACACTCATTATTATAACGAGAAAAGTAGTATAACTCCTAGAACCTGAAGTCCAATCCTTCACTTGATAGGACTAGAGTTTAAATTCTAAATGGATGTTTTTGCCCTTAAATCAAACTCAAGACATCACCTGAGCCAACAGAACTAGATCTGGGCCACCTTCCTCCATTACTGTGGCCATCTGTGCAATCACTCCTCTAAGCCAGAAACGTCTGGCCTGAATATTGTACTTTGGGAATTTAAGACAGTCATGTCTCATTCTTCTTAGGAGATGCCCACAAGAAAAAGATGAAGTTCAGAGTCTTGGCTCTGGCACACAGTTGGATGAGAAATGGAAAGAGGGTTGGGAAAAGGGCCTGATGATAGTGGAATACCTTGTGCCACTTGGGGTACTCCACCTTAAGGAACCCAGAATCTTCACTCATGCACCCAGGCCCCTGGAAGGGATGTAACTGATAGTCATAGTCTAGCTGCCCACTGGTTGTTTCTGTTTTCAAATTACTCCCCATCCGTAAGTACTCATTGAGCTTCTTCTATTAACTACATCACCCAAGGCAGTAAAAATCCAAAAGCAACGTGGTTAACATCTAAGGGAACTAATCCTTAAAAATAAGGCCCATGAGAATTTGGGATCTGGCAAAGGCTAAACTGATATATTCATCTGGGGTCATAGTGTGGGTCTGTGGCTTCTATGTCCAGTGTGATTTTAAAAGGGACCCAAATAGAATTCATATTTGACATTTATTAAGTGTCAGAACATAAAAATGGCATCGTTATTATGGGAGGAGAGAGATGTGGGCAAATAGGCTTCAGAGGCTGCTTTTCCCACAGCAAGCCTAGCCAAAAAGTTCCCAAATGTTAAGAGAGTCTCTGTGCAGCCCCCAATCCTTAGGAGCATGCCAGGATTCCGGGGAGGATATGTTCCCCGACGTGGCCGAGCCACATCCTGCTCATGGCATGGTTCAGCTGCTTACTTACTATGCCATAGCCCGTGACCTGATAGTGCTTCCGGGTCAGAGGGGCCTCATGATAGTGACTGTGCAAGTTCCGAGAAGTCCTAGAAGTTAAAAGAAAGAAGTGCCATTATCTTCAAGAAAAGGGATGTGCAATGGTTCTTCTATCAAGGATACTCAGAGTCATCTGTTAGGATAAGAAAAATCAGAATCTAAATATTAAATCCAACATATCAGGAACTTCTTGCCTATTCACTCACAAAAAATAGCCAGAGTATTGGAGAGCTACCCAAACAAGGAGGGACAGATGGTAGGAATACTGGATCACACGCCACAAAAGGAGCTGACTCCAGGTGGGCGTGGGGGGCAGGTGGTAACGACTGAACACATGTGATGGTTTTGAAGCACTGAGCTTGCAGGTTTGGGGAGAAGAAAATTAAAACCCGTAAGCTACATATACCTGAGATAGGTAAACCTCCTCTCTCCACTTGCTCTTTCTATTCCTATCACCAGTCTTCTAAAGTGGTGATCTATGTGGAAAGTGGGGGCTTAATTTACATTTATTTACTTTGTGCATTTTATAATAGTTCTTAATTTTATCCATAATAAAAAATAAATGTTCATTTAAAATATTTTGGAAATTTTCAAAAATAAAATTTAATAAATTTATTAATAAAATGAAAATTGTGTAATAATAAAATTTAAAATGTAAGTATCCATAATCCTACTGACTAGAAAACCACTGCTCTCTATATATAATCCCTGATTTTTAAAAACTCTGTATCTGACAATTCTAGTATATGAAACTTTTGAGGGCTGCTATGCTGTCCACTGTACATGCTCATTCCTGCACATGGTGTCCTATTTCCTTGCGTGTTTATTGTTTTTTGTTTGTTTGTTTGTTTGTTTTTTTAGCTGAGCCATCCTGCCACCTGTTGGCAGCTCAGGGGCAGCTCAGCTCAGGCTGGACTCGAACCACTGTTGCTCAGAGTTCACACTCTTGAGCAAGCTCTTAACCAACTGAGCCACTCGGCCGACCCTGTTTAGTTATTCTTTATTGTGTTCTATTCACTGTCACTGAAAAACCACTTATGGGAATGGATGACAATGTCTTTCTCAAAAGAAGATGTACATCTGCTTTTATCCAGGCAGCTAGGAGATATTACCAGCCTAGGATTATGTTCATTGAAATTAATGTCTTAAAGATTTTAAGACCATCCAGGTGAAATGAATTTGGGCTGCAAATCCATGTGAGGATCAACTGGTAGTTACAACTTCTCAGGAACCAGAAATAGTGCCCCTACCCCCGGCCTGAGCCCTCCTAAGCATACTCTGCTTAGTACCCAGAGTAACTTTTTCAGGGTATATATACATGGATAGAGCAGATTTACCCTTACCCTAAGCCTTTAGGGTTCCAAATTTGGGGGAAGGAATACTTAATAAATTTACCACTTTGGGTGAGCCTAGAGCTTTGACTTGAAAATTCCCTCTCTCTCGAGGCAGTCAAAACCAAAGATCAAAGCTCCAGACGGTAGGATCAAGGCGGAAGCAGCTATAGTGTCCCCCTTGCTTCCGTGAATTCCCTCCTTCACTTAGATTTTGGCCTGGTAACTCCTTACTATCTTGTCAGCTCTTCAATGCTTTTGAGAAAATGTTTTTATATTATTCTAGTTTCGTATTTATATTCCAGTTTTTCTATTATTAGTCATTGCTAATAATGAGCACATTGGTTAAACAAACTAGCTTGCCATAGTCTCAGAAACAGACCCTTACATCTTCCTAAAGGCAGCCGCTTACGAAGCTCTGGGCAACTCAATTTTTTTTTTTTCTTCTAGGAAAAGGGAAGCTGAAAGGTACCTTCGAGTTCAAAGCTCTCCAAAGCCAAACAGGCAGGCAAAGGCTGGCTGGCTTATTTCATCAACCTTCATAAAGTTGTCCTGCCATCCTAGCACAGCAGCCTTGTTCCATTTACTAGAGCCTCATCCAAATCTGACTTCTATTTATTTCCAGCTTAAAAAGAATTCCCTGCCTTTGGTGCCCATACCACTCATTTATCCCAAAAGCAAATTGACTTACTCTTTATGTTCTAGTCTAATGATGTCTCCATGTCTTACAAACTCCACTGGGAATGAAGGGTCTAGAGGATCTGCCAAGAAGAAACAAGCATTGATACCTGAAATCATTCACTCATTAGGCTGCTACTGATTAAGGGCTCACTGGTAAAGTTATAGTACAACACAGTATGTGCTGGAGGTGCTACCGAGTGCTGTGAGACCAGCAAGAAACGGTCCCTAACTGTTGCGGAGGACTAGGGAAGAGTGTCCTAAAGATAATGCTTGAAAAGTCTCTTAAAGGAGGGGGAGAATTTTTTCAGGGGGAGAATTTTTTCAGGTGGACAATTTTTTCAGGCACAGAGGTACGAAAGAACAACTCACTTGATCAATGGCAAATGGTTTCATATGTTAAGGTGGGTGGGCAGGAAGGAGAGCGGAATAGACGAGCGTGTGAACAAGTGGGGCCAGACTGTGGATACCAGGCTAGGAAATGTGGTCTTTACCTGACAGGCTCTGAAGCCCCCACTGAAAGATCTGTAAGCTGGGAAGCCAAACAGTAATAAGATTTTCCTTTTAGTAGTAAAAATATAGTCCAAAAATTAATTCCATGCAAATTACCATTTGCCCAGCTCTCCTCAAAATCGCATGTTAAACCCTGCAAATTTTGCCAGTGATACTGTCTCTGGCAATATACTTGCTAAGTGTGAGGCGAAGAAAATGACAAAATGATGAAAGAAAGGGACTACAGGTGACTCTTGAACAACATGGGTTTGAACTGCACACACGTCCACTTACATGTAAATGTTTTTCAATAAATTCTATAAACATTTTCTCTTATTTATGACTTTTCTTAATAACATTTTCTTTTCTCCAGCTTAATTTATTGTATGGATACAGTAAATAATACATGTAAGATACAAAATCTGTGTTAATCGACTGTTTATGTTATCTGTAAGGCTTCCAGTCGACAGTAGGCTATTAGTAGTTAAGTTTTTGGGGAGTCAAAAGTTATACGTGGATTTTCAGGGCTAGCACCCCTAACCCCCACGTTGTTCAAGAGTCAACTGTACTTCTGTATTATCTAGAAGTCAAGACCGATCAGGATCTAGAAAGGTAATGATAATGGAAAAGGAATCAGCAGTAATCACAGCATCACAAAGGATCCTTGCAAATTTCTGTCTCAAACACTGAGACACTAACAGTCAAGGTCAGGAAGGCAAATTTGCCAGCACAAATCACTCTCTCAGGAGAATTAGGGAACTCAAGCATAGAGATGCTCAATCCTATGTGGGCTTTTAAGGTCTCGAAAAGATTAACCAGCAAGATAACAAATCAAAAAAGTCAATGAGAGGGAAGTTTTGTTTCACATAAATTTGGTGGGAGGAACATTTATAGCCATCAAGAACTCAAAGACCTTAGTCCATACAGTTCCCACTTCCCACAGTGCTTGTAACTAT